TTAACGAGAGGGTTCCCGATGGTTAGGCACAAATGCAATCGCATGGCAGGATGCTGTAAACTTCAGTCAGGAGAACAACTGAGATAATCCATCCACAATAGGAGGTTAGTCATTAATATACTGCTGCATGGGCTGGGCTGTAGTTACATCGTAAGGGTTTAAAAACTGAGCTTTAAAATGAACAGTGGTAATAAAAACCCAGACAGGCCGACAGTGATCACTGACTGTTTTTAGGGGCTTGTTCAGATTAAATAGAACAAGATACAAAACATGTTAAAAACACAACAGCCTTGTAGTTTGGAGCAGGAAGCAGGGTTTATCACATCATCATTTAACAACTGGATAGTGTCCGGAGAATTCTACCTTTGATTTTGGGCCACTAGCAGACTGTGAGAATCATTACTTTTCCAATGAAATGAAGTATCTCTACAATATAAATACATTATTTTATGTTAACTTCCCATGTATCACCATTGTTTAAGTTAATTATGACTGATAGGCTGTAGTTCCCAGAGGAAAAAATTCACAAACATTGGCAGGTTAGCCTAGTTATCATTAGCATTTTAGCATGGTGCAGATACAACACAGTTTTAGTTAAAAGCCATGAATATTTGAATAAAGTCAAACTTTTATCAAACAGACACTTTAACTTAGTGGCTGCATTCAGCACATAAATGTGTCATTTTATAATCTGAAAGAAATGATTACTACTCGCGCAGATTCCCACAGATGGTGGAGCAGAAACTAGTTTCCACCCCCGGATCCATTCTTGTCTATAATGGCTACAAATTGATGAAGCCATTGAGTGTGCTGGTGACTCAAGGGTGAGTGGGGACAGAGTCTCCACCACCCAGTAGCACTCATTAATCAGATCTGGTCCATCCCCGGTCCCTCCCTTCAGACTGCCTGACACGCTGCCAGAGGCAGTAATGTGATACTTTGTGTCTGTCCCTGTCGGTGGGTGTCCGTCCTCGTCTGCCTTTAGCACAACCTCATTTTCTTGTTACTGGGTCTCTACTTCCTGTTCATGCCACCATCAGCCCCTGCAAAGTAAGTTCATCATACATTGAATTATTCTTTATATTGATGGTTATATGGACGTTATATTGATGGTTATAAAAAGAAAAAGAAGAACATCAGTAAATGAACTCCAAAACTAGCTATCGGACTTAAGGTAAAGAGAAATGACTTTCCCCTGTCTGTTTCTGGTCTTCAGGGCTGCTTTTATTTAAATCACAGTATCGATTTATGCCAAAAATAAATCACCAAGCTGGCGACCAATATGTTGACATCTACATTCTAAACTCAATAATGAAATCAGCCTTGACGCGTTGACAACTCAATAGTGTCAATATGGTTAACCAACTTCACACACAGGCTAATTTACGCCCACTGCCTTGAAAAAACAAAAACCCCACAACCAAACAAAATCATAACAATCGTTTAATGGGAAAAACAAACATTTCAATGATGACATTTCTGAAAATTGTAACCATACAAGGTGCTTGATATTATGTCTTTGATGCTATCCTAATTGAGTTACAGCCAGAAGGTCACAATATGACGACAGCTCGTGGTCCTGCGATACAGAACGAGGATTATTTATGACGATTTCATCTCCGATGATATGCTACATTAAATTAATGGATCAAAAAAAAAAAGGTTGGAAGAAGGAGGAATGGAGGAGGGGTGTTGCATATTGAACTTAGAAATTCTTTGGATCAACTTTGATCTTATTGGCACTTTGCAGCAGTAAATTTAAGACCTGGTAATTGTTCCAGGAGCATAAAAATGGCTGCCTGGTTGATTTGAGTCTGCTTGGTCGTTCTTTGGCTAAATCTGCAGTCACTGTTTGTAGATCTGAAGGAGTAATCCAGTGTTTCTCATGGGGAAGCTGGTTAAGCATCCCAGTATGAAAATCTTGTTTAAGGAATGCAAAATGACATATTTTAATTTGTAGTTGTTATTGTTTGGTGATGTCTCACATTAGAACCTTTTAAAACATCCTAAAATAACTGAATACATAATTGGCTTTATGACGATATTATATGTGAAATATGACTATAAGCGTTTAAATGATGGATAAAGTAGGATGTTAAATAAAGGTAAGTATAAAGTACAGAGTCACAAATCACATCACATATTACGAGTCCTTCTATAATTATTTTACTTACACTGTCTTTGACTTCCCAGGACATTTAACTAATTCCAGTGTTTACATTTTATATTTATATTCAAGAAACTACAAGAGATGGCTGCATGGATAAATGGCTGCATGATGAGGTTATTTCCACCTTTGAAATACTACCTTTATAGTGGGACCTTAGCAAACGGGTTGAATAATAAAATAACAATATACATTTAATTTTACATTTTCCATGTATGGAAGGAGAACCGGCCATGCAGGAAACCCTTCACAAAGAAAAATTGATGGCGCTCATTAAACTATGACCTGCATGTTTTATCTGCCTGTAGCTAATAATCTGTGTTTGTGTCGTTAATTCATGTAATAATAATAATAAAAAATAAATAAATAAATAAACAGTGAGACAAGTCTCAGTCATAAGAGCTTATATTTTAAGCTAAACCTTTTTGAATACGTTTGGTGCCTCAGCCTAATCAAACATAGAAAATAAAAGCAAAAACAATCAAAGGATAATTATTTGTTCTTTAAAAAAAAGCATTACACACATCATCTATGAATCATTCACTAATCAGTAAGCATTATTAGTTATGATTTTACTGCTGTGTAACTATTAACTGAAGGTTCATTATCAATTCTCTATTTATTAATTATGGTCATTATGTCGTGTTGTGAGTTACCTCATGTATGGGGTCCACTTTAAATGACATGGTCACTTCAAAAAGTCTCGAAGATTCAAAAACTTTCTTTGCTTTCAACTTGTAAATGTTAAATCTGTAGAAACCAGTGAGAGATCTACAAGAGAGGTTAGCTTTGGCTTCAGTCGGTGGCTTTGACTGCCCCCTAGTGTCTTTACCAAACAGCTGCACAGCTCCAGTTGGAGGCAGAGATGTTTCAGCTGTCAGTGCCAGACTGAGAAGAAGCTGTGAACAAACCAAGCTGATATATTTAAGAGTCAGCTCTCTACACGTGAAAGAAATCTGTGCCACAAATGCAACAGAAAAGAGGACAAGGCATCATCAGTGCTGTCAACATTGTTCAAGGCTCCCGTTTATCTCGACTGCTGCCAGGTGAGCTCTATCTTAGCATCAGGACTCAGACCATGTTTTAGACGCTTTCTCCTCATGCAGTGCAATGAGTGGTTATTCTGTATGAGAGAGCAACACATCTCAGACCAGTACCAGACAAGAAGGACTTCTCCCACAGGACAGGATGTGTGTGTGAGACGAGTATGTACCTTTAAACACATCTGATCATGAGGTGGTTACGCTCTTAGCACACTTAGCAAGCATGCAGTGTTGCACACAAAAAGCAGAATGATGATGCAGCAAGAACCTGTGCAGGAGTGAGTCAGGTTTATAACACATTACACTTGCATTTTTTATTTATTGCCAGCAGCATTGCAGCTGCCACTGCAGCTCTTTTTAAGCATGATGTGCCATGTAGATCCCGGTGTCAGCATCTTATTTACCCGCTTCCCAGTCAGTGCACAGCATATGACAATGAAGGGTTAACTGGATGAAAACTGAGATTTGTATTTGATGAATGTAAGCAACATAATAAAACCTTTTCCAACTGTTTATCCAATCAGTACTGGGAATGTGGTGTACGTCTACCCTTAATCAAATGATGCGAGTCTAATGACTCATGGACTTTTAGCAATTTGCCAAGAAGAAACAAAAAACAGGACGTCAGTTTTTGTGTCTGCACAGGTTTATAATACAGTAGACTTAATTTTGTTATTTACTGCCAGCAGCATTAGAGCTGCCACTGGATCCCTGCCACCGCGATCAGACATCAGGTTTGCTAACGAGTCCTGCACAGTTTGCATCATTAAAGGTGGATAAAGTAAAGTTATTTAAGTATTTCTCTCCTTTCAGTGAGCAAAACCGAAGCGTTACTCTGTTGATTACAGAGAAGTCTGTGAGGACATCAGCATTTTTTCATAAAAACTTACAAATAAAATCAGACATTCGAATTTATGTTGTTATGGATTCATGAATCAGTGAAAATCTATAACTCACCATTCATTTTCTGCCTGCACGTCACAGCTTTCATGGTTATGTCACCTTAGAACCACAGGATGTCGCTAGAGACTATCATCTCTCAACTGGCATAATTTGCTTGTACACACCGATTGCCCCAATATGGTTCCCACCAGTGAACAATTTTGCCTTGATATAAAAATAACCAAGGAGGGTCCCACATTTCCCCACCTGTGCACCGTTTCTGACAAAAACAGCGAACGTCCAGAATCCACCGGAGGAACCGGTCAGACCTGCTCAGTGTTCAACAGCTTCAGGTTCTGCAGGAGACGGGATCGTGCACTGGCCAATTCCTCCGAGATCTCACTCAGGGTTGAATATTCAGTGGGAGGCTGGGACTCCGCCTTCGTTTCCCAGCCTGCAGAGTGGTGGGAACCGGGTACTAGGCAGCCCAAAATGGTATGCTATTTTTACCACTGTGTTCAATCTGAGGGCTGCTCTCTAGAGACCTGTTGCCGGCAGTTCTCCCAAAGCCGCGGAATTTAACCCTAGGACAGCTCTCCCCAGATGTGATGGAAAACATCTGGCCAGCTGCTTGACTACAAGGCTTGGCCGTCCAGCCTCAGTGCTACTAACCCCCCTAAACACTCGTATACCAAGATAAAGCCCAGTTGATACTGATGATAAACAGCAACCAAGGCCCTTTAAAGGAATGTGAGACTTAATAGTGTGATGTACGGATGACTGAAAGCTGCCTGCACGTGGTACGTTATATATAAAAAAGCCTTTTTTGATTTGAAGTATTAACCATATACTGGTTTCGATAATAAAGGCAAGTATCTTTGAAAATAACTGGATACAGAAATAATGCAAAGAGTGTCCCAGAATAACATTTATTAATTACTGACTTTTATTTAATTTAAAAAAAGATTACTTGTAAATGTTACATTGAGTTCTACTGAAGCATTTCCATGATCTGTCTCTTAGCACAGGTTAACATTAGGCACACAATAATGCAGACATCATTTTGCATTTCTAGCAACTGTTCAAATACAAAACAGAAGAGCGATTCAGAGAGAGAGAGAGTGGGGAGGAAGAACCCTAAAACTGCACTGAAAGCAGCGTAGCCAGGAAAATACATCAAAACTGGAATTCAGCCCATCTGTTCCCACGTGAGGGTCAACGGCTGATTTCTCAGGTCCCTGTGTCGTGCGTTACATTAAAGAAAACACAAAATCAATTTCCATGTACAGACCATGATACCCTGGATTGCAAAAGCCATCAAGAGCTAATTTATGTCATTCCCTCGCACATTCACCGAAAGTACAAAACGCCCCACCAGAAAAATCAGACAAATAGTCAACGTGCCTGAAAATCTAGAGCTCTCGCTTCTTGACACGCGAATGTTCCCCGTGTATAAATGACTGAATACCAGATTTTTTTTAAATAAGACTTCTATAAAGTTGTAAAAAACCCAAATTTGCCCATTCTTTGATTCATCAAGGATCTGTAGTCACTTAATATTTGGCCTTTCCTAAAAAAACAAAAAACACACTAGGAGCGAGTGGGCGGAGCACAACACCGACTCAAACTTCAGTGGCAGAAACAGCAATTTTACAAATACAGCAATGAAAATAAAGATACTAAACTGCCCTTTGTCCGAGTCGGGGCCACGGCCTTCAAAGCTTATGTACAGCTTATGGCACAGGAAGGGCAACTGTTATGGGGCCTCACTGCTGTTTTACCAGAGAGGGAATAATTGAGACAAAACGTTTTACTTATTGCACGAAAAATATTCAGTTCAAGGGTTTGCGTCACAGAAAGCTTTGGATGAGGGGAATGAATCCTTTGGTCAGGCATCTTTCTGTTTTGGTCAGTCCCACATGATGCTCAGGGGGCTTCTTTTAATTTATATATGGAAATCTGTGATATGAGTGCAGGAAGTCTCTACAGAACAAAGCCTGAGAATCAATGCACACTGCAGTGTGTTGAGAAATGGCAATTTATCACATGTGCAGCCTCATCAGCACTGCAGGTCAACGCTGCCCGTTCGGAAAGGTTTTTGACCCTTTGAATAGCTCGACATGAACGGGAACAACGTTTGTGTTTGTACGCCGACACGTGACAAGTCACAGGACCTGTTCAATGGCACATAGAATGGATACGAATGGGGTTTTACAATAAATCAAGCACATTACATTTGACTTTGCAGCTGTCCACCTTTTTCTGAGAAAGAAAATATAGAAAATAATACAACATACAATCAAATACATTTTCAGGTCATCCTCTTTTTGTTATGCGGAGGTGAAAGCAAGTGCAGTATTCATGTTCATCAGAGAACAAAATCCGACAGGCTGACCCCAAAAGACCTCGGGGTCATCTCAAATTTGAAGCCATCTTTTTAAAGCTAAAGCTGCTCAAACGCAGATGAGTCGAGATCTGTGGAGCTCGTCACAAACGTCTCTAATTTACCGTACAGGCAGAACAATCATTGTCAACGTCACCATTGGTATACAGAAGTCTGTTGTGCACTAACAAGATTTGCAGCGTCAACTCTTCGCGCCAGCTTCACAAAACACCAGTGAAACATTTTAATAATTTTCTGTGGCATGCAACCCAGATTAGGGCTTTCTATGCCAAACAAACAATGTGGTTACATCTGTACCTGTGCCTTAGAAACTTTGATAAGAACAAAAAGCCAAATAACTGCACATTTTTAGGCTCAGAGGGGAAACTGGAGTGACGGCTTTTGAGTCCAGAGTTTTGGGGGAGGGCGATGGTTTGATGTTTAGTCGCCGCCAGACCGAGCGCTCAACGACAGCAGTGGAGACTTCACTATGGCGATGTGGGTACCGACACCTCCAGCAGGCGGTTGTTCTTGCGCTTGCAGGACACGCTGTTGCCGTTCTTCGGGCTGCTCTGGATGAACTTCACGCATACTTTGTCCTGCTTAAACTGCACCAGGAACCTGCCACACAGAAAACATCGGCAACGTCACAAAACATCGACGGCGCCGAAGAAATATCACCTTTCTCAGTGCGACTGCTCTTACTCATCCGAGATGTCAACTTTAAGTTTCTCCCGGTCTGCGGCGGTCGCCCCGATGCGATGGAGCTTGGTGATGATTTCAATAAGGTGCTCACTGCTGAGCAAGAAATCTCCTTTGACAGCTGAAGCCGAACCCTGCAGTAGAAGAAAGTCACATATTAAGATCTTTTAATAAACTTTGGTGTCTCGTCTGGCCTTACAGTAATCGTCCGTCACTTGGAGACATTTTTATTCGCTTCCCGCCGAGCTAAATGAGAAGCTCACTGCCTGAATGGCTTTGGCTTCAACGAGCCAGAGCACAGCGGCTTCATAATTCTACTCAACTACACAATCGTGTCTCTTCTCACCTCTTTGAGTTTGAGAGCAAAGAAGCCGTCTTTCTGCGTGCTGACCGACACGCTAGTGACGTCTGGCAGAGGAATGCTGGCCTTCACCTGGCCCGTTTTCTGGTCAGCCAGGACAAAGTTCTTCTTGGTCAGCAGGAAGATCCGTGGCGTTCCCTGCAAACGTGCAAGCTAACATTTTAGCCCTCTATCATTCCCCCTCTACATGTTTTCTTTCAATGCATTTTTAAATGCTTGTGAGCTCCAAGCTCTGAGCTACAACATAGCAGAGCTGTCCAGAAATGTCTGATGTCTGCTGGAAGAAAAACGCTGTCAGTTGTTATGATGTCAAAAAACATCAGCTCACCGTGTAAAGTGTTGAAATATACATCAAAACAACAAACGGCGGCTCTGCTTCACTGTGGAAAATTGCAGAAAATCTCTAAACACACAAGGTCGCTGTGTAATCACACTTCCTGTTTTAGGTTTTCCAGTTTGCATACAAACTAAATGGACTGTAAATACTGTGGTGTGTGCGCATTTTCTGACCTTGCCATTCGCCCTGTTAATCTTGTTGACCACGTCGGCCAGCAGGACCTTCTCGTCCACAGCACTGTTGAGTTTCTGATATTTGGGGTTCTTGCTGATCTCCAGGTAATCTCCTTTGAAAGGCTGACTCACACTGACACACAATACAGGAAAACAAGACTCCACTTTACCTTGATCACGTGACTAGACGTTGCTTTTATCTTGCTATAAAATAAAGGGCACTTGATGGCAGTGATGTTCAGCTACCTGCTTGGGTAGAGAGCCTTTTTATCCTTGAAGATCTCACTTGCTTCCAGCTTCTCCTCATACACTGCCTTCTTCTCCTCGGTGAACTGGTCCCTGTATTTCTTGCACTGAACAAGAGACAAATTCATTCAGTTACATTCTGATGTATATGCAGTTATTATAAACATGGTTCTTTAATGTGGCTGAATGTGGTCGGTTTTTGTGACCGACCCTCCAGTGATGGAAGATTTTCCGGAGCTCGGTGTGGACTCCATCCAGGAAGCCGTACGGCGTGGCCGGCCACTTTCTGTCTATGGGGGACATGGAAGGCATGCTGCTCTTCAAGCCCAGGAAGTATTTCTGTATCTGGACACATAGACAAGAAAATCATCTTTGGTTTCTTAATATCATGTTAAACTTGAACATTAAAAACGAAAAGTCCAACTTACAATTCGCTGGATGGTAAAGTCGTAGATCTTTTTGCCGGCATTTGCCCTGAAGAACTTCCTGTACTCTCTGCGGACCTATAACGGCACCAAAAGATCAGATGAAATCAATGAACTCAGTTGGTTCTTAAATCTTATCTGTGTGTGTATTTGGAAAGAGAAGGAGGCACACCGACAGCAGGATGACAGCAACACAAACAGCACACTGAAAAAAACATCTGACGTTTGGTTAGTGACGAACAACTGCAGTCTGCTGGACGTTGACATTTACTTTACTTGAAAGGATGTGATGGTTACAACAAGCAGTCTGACCATAAGTCTACAAACTGAGGTGGAAATGGGTGCACTGTGATGCACGAGGTGATGAAAAATAAAAAAACAATATTAGGACTGCAATAAATGGTGTATGGACAAGTTTACTTCAACAACCAGCAACAGGGACAAGGACACACACCTAGAGAGAAAGAGAGAAACTCTGCTGGATAGAAAAAAGTGCTCGTTCATGGGTTAGTGTGACAGATGCAGAGAAAAGAAGATACGAGTCAGACGCCGCTGCGTGACATCTGCAACATTAAAAGCCTCAAAGGAGGAAAGAAAGGTCCAATCCTCAATCATCCATTTAAAATGGATTTTTCTTAACTACTTGTCTTATATACGTTGCATTAAAACAAATTACAAAATGCAAGAAGTGTCACGAGGACAGCGCCTGGATAATGACAGAGAAGATCCCTGAGGAGGATGAGGAAAGTCAGGGGTGTCGAGTAGGTGGCAGACTTGTTGATGGCTGCGCCGTGGGGCTGGGAGGTACCTTGAGTCCCTGCCAGTAGGCCCAAATCAAAGCGACAGCGTGCTTACGCCTGGCCTCTTCCTTCAGTCTCCTGAGCTCCCTGCGAGCCTGTTCGGGGGTGGGAGGGAAGAGACAGAGAGTAGGAACAAATGAAGCAGGAGAAGATGAGAGGGAGAGGAGGTAGACACCGTTTTGCCTGAGGTCAGCAACATCAAATGCGCACACACATTGCACACAAGCACAGTGTGATCACTGAGAGACTGTAAAATTACAGCTCTGCTTCTCCAGCCTCCAGAAACCAATATGGAAGTGTGGGTCATGGGAGCATTTATCTGGGGAACTTCTGGAAGGCAAACAGAGCTGGTGCTTTGACAACTTTGAGTGCAAAAGGAGAAAACAAAAAGTCACATCTCAGGCGGTCAGAGGATCCAAACTCATCCTTCTAAAAAACAGCACAGCAATGCAAAAACTACACATGCACCAGCTACACAGGAAGTCATGCAGAGGCAGCAGGCAGCATGCGGTGTGAAGCATGGACCTCGGAGGAAGAAGCTGAAAACAATGCCAGGATAGGACATCAGTCCCTGATGTGATGTATGGAGACTGGACGCCTACGTTTCACTGACTAGTACTCACAGTGGAAAAATGACAGCACTGCAAAGGCAGGTTCAGATGAAAATAACCATTCTGGTCACATGGGTGAGACTGCTGTGCTTTAGCAGCCAGCAGTCCGCCTCTGAGAGACTCCATAATAAGATGTCTTACATACAACTTAAGTGTTTGGAAAGAGTCGAGCAGATGGACACGTTATGGACGAGGTGGGAGTGGGATTGATGGAGGGCGGCAAGTCAGAGTCACGGCAAATCAAGTCAACAGGCTTCCCAAATACCTTGGTGCCCTGCCAGCCAGCCCAAATGACCGATACGGCATGTTTATTCCTCGCCTCCTCCTTCAGCTGACGCAGCTCTCTCCGGGCCTAATGAGAAGCGGTGGCAGTTGTGGGTGAAGTTAATTTCAGTGGCAATCAAAACACAATTGTCCGAAAACAGGGGACAGCAGAGGCGACACAGCAGGGGCAAAAAGGCGGATAAACAAAGACGAACAACAAGAAAACGTGCGAACGAGGAGACTCTCCCCACAATGAGGCTGTGTGTGGTCAGCTTTAAACGAATATCGTATGAAATGATGCAAAATAAAGTCCAGCAAGAAAGTTCAATTATCTTCAGCGTCAAAGGTGCAAACTAACAAAGAGCCAGAACCACAGTTTAGATTTAAGACACTAAAGTCTTAATGCTTTGAGCCTGGCTGTAATTTAGTCTAATAACAACCTCCAAGAATATTCGATATAACAGAGATTGTTACATTCTGACAGGATAATGGTTTCCTGCATGCCAGCAGAATCAGGCTGAGCTGTAAGAGCTTCCTGCTGCACATCATCACATCGATTAATAAGAAGCTTCTTGACTTTAACCAGAGTAAAAACCACAATCATAATCAGATGTGTGGCAACATGTACATTTCTTACTTCCAGCATATGTTTGCAGCATATGCTGGAAGTAATTTTAGATCGCAGCAGAGGTGTGGCACACTGGACAGAAAGTGTAAAACACCTGAGCCGCACGTCGCAGCCACGATCGGCACCGTTTACGACGCCGGATTAAGCGTGTTAGTTGGAGAAGTTGAGATAATCCCACATTTAAGAGCCACACAACAGAAAACGGGAAGAAATGAACAGTCGGGCTCGTTAATCTGGCCGAGGTTCATTCAGCAGGGCTGCTACTCTATCAGGCAGTTTCGTGGTGAGAATAGCATAGGATGGGACAAGACGTGATGAACAGGGATGGCAGCTGGGACAGCAACACACTATCGCTGGGTGGAAATACCTTGGTTCCCTGCCAGTAAGCCCAAATTACTGTCACAGCGTGTTTATTCCGCACTTCTTGTTTCAGACGTCTCAGCTCCAGCCGTGCCTGGTGGATGTGGTGGGCGTTCGGTAAGACAAGTTAAAGATGTGAAGAGGAGAAAAAAAAAAATCGAGACGGGAAAGTTGAAAAAGGAGCAGGGGAGAAAAAATAAGTGGGAGCTGTGTGATCAGCACAAGAAGCAGGATTAAAGGAAAACAGCAGCAATAACATTAAAGGACAGGTTTGTTAAAGAACAGCCGTCTTGCAATACTGTGGAGCCTTTAGGCAAGAACACAGCGAACAATAAAAAAACCAAAGAGTTTGAAGCGTTCAGGAGCAGGCTTCTCCTGCAGAAGCCATCAAGGTACAGCAAACACCTCGCTCTTTGATATCCGTACCTGGGTGCCGTGCCAGAACGCTGCGATGGTGGTCACTGCCTCCTCGCATCTCTTCTGATGTTTCAGCTCTCGCAGAAGTTTGCGAGCCTGGTGGAAACATGCAGACACTTTCATTTTCTTCCACACGACAGCTGCTACACTTTTTTCAATGAACAGAGTGATTTCAAAGACAGATGCACACCTGCCAGCCTCTGGTGTACGACTGAACCATGGTGGTAGCACTCTTGATGTTCCGGTACTTCTTTTGTTGCTGTGAGATGGAAAAGTGTCATTATGCATCGGTGAGTATGGTTTTTAATCCGCTTTGTATTTTGGTGTAATTAAAGGGTCTCACAGCGTAGCGGCGGTACCAAGCTGCCACCACTATCTGGCTCTTCTTCATCAACAGGAAGTGCGTGCGGCACTTCCAGCCTCTGTAGATCTTCTGAATGAGTGTGGCAAGGTCCTGGAGACACTGCTTTCTCTTCTCCTCCAAGAAAAAGAGCTGCAGGAAGAGGAGAAAATTAAGAGCTCCAGACAAGAGCACCTGGGAAACTGTGTGAACGCTGGATGTTATCAACATCATCAAATTATCTGCAGGAAGGTAAAATGTCAGGGAAAGTCAGTTTACTCTGAGGGGAAAAGGTTACGAGTTGGACTTTTTAGGGGGGGGGGGGGTTCTAAACTGAGGAAGCACCAATTTCTCAATGACAAGAACAAAGTGCAGGTGGGAGAAAAAGTTTACTGCTCCAGGAAGACAATAAAACTGACCTTTTGATAATCGACTTATTCTCAAGGATGAGACCGCATCAGTTATTGCACTGGTGTGAGGAATAGGGCTGCCACAAACGATTATTTTGATAGTCGACTAGTCAGCGATTACTTTTGCGACTAGTCTACTAATCAGATCATCATCCATTGGACGTAAAACGTACAGCTTATTGCACCAGCAGCATCTGCTCTTATATAACTATCATTA